CGCCTCCACTTCGCGTCCCTGTGTCTGTGTCTGTGGCTGCCTGTGTCTGAGGCCGCCCTCTGTCCTCGAAGCCCACTCTCTTGCTTGGCAGCACCTGTTGCAGTTTATGAGGACACAGCCATGTTTCACATGTGCCCCAGCTTCGCTTCCCTGGTCCCGAGGCCCCGGAGGGTGAGGTGCACACTTGCCTTGTGCACTGCTGCACACTAGGGCACAAGAGGCTGTTTGAGGCCACCTGGGCAGCTGCGTGAAGGGGCACAGGCAGCACGGAGAGGTCCCCACCAACCCAGGAGGCTCAGCGCCTGTGGACAGGACAGGAGGGACCGGGCAGCAGAACGTGGGCTGCACCGGCCGGCCAGGAAGTGCTTCCTGTGTTTCCAGGCCATTGTCTATGAATGACTCTGTGGCCTGAACCATGTCCTGCCTCCCACAAGAGAGACGGATGAGAGAAATGTCACTGCGCACGGTTCTCCAGGAGGACAGTGCTGAGGCGCAGCTCAGCGGCCTCACCAACATCAGACTCCCCTCTAGAGCCAGGCAGGGACGCCTCCACCCCATGCTCCTGACCAGAGCCATCAGGGGCCCAGCACCACGTGAGAGACAAGAACAGAGGGGAAAGGCCAACCCGCTGTGTGCTGAGAGGGAAAAGACTCTTCCTGTGGAAAACCCTGCAGCAGCTTCCAGACAGACCCTGCGGTAGTGGGAGTGGAAGACACTGCTCATGGCCCAGCTGGATAGAGAAGCGCCAGGGGCCCACGCATGCAGGAACAGGGATCAGAGTGCTGTCCGAAGGCTCCGTGCAGGCTATGGGGGACCAGACTGATGCCCCACTTCCTGAGCTCCTTTCTCAGCAGCCTCCGCCTCCCACTGCACATGGTGCTGCTGGTGATTTTTCCAACCATCAGATTCACCACATAAATTAGCCTGTGCAAGAGGCCAGAGGCCACCAAAGCCCCTCAGAGCAGCCTGCCAGGATCGCCCTGGGGCAGGGCTAGTTTTCCAGTCCTAGGGGCACTACTTATTCTTATCAGAGGGGAGCAAAGGTTCTGTGTGTTTTTCTCTCACTCCAGGCCACAAACTCAGGTGTTTCTCTGAGAGAAGGAAAAGGGTGTGGGAACCCAGCAGCGGAGGAGTGGATTCTCCGGCTTGTCGAGGCCTCCCACCTGCTGCAGGCCGAGTCTCTTCCAAGGACACAGAGGCTCCTGGGTGAGTCTTTGGGGAGAGGTGGCACCCAGAGAGAGGAGGACGCCAGTGAGGGGTGAGCGTGCAAATACACAGCTACACACACACTCTTGCACACCCACAGCTGTGGCTGTTTTTCCCACAGGGTAGGGTCATCTGGGAACAAGTGATGCCGGCTCCGAAACCCCAAATCTGTCGCCTCCACAATAGTGACAGCGCTGTGTAGCTCTCAGGCACCAGCGTGGCCCCAGCTCCTGGGGTCCCAGAACTGGGTCAGCCCAGCCCCGCTGGACACTCCTGGTACCACGGCAATGCAGAAAACTGGAGACGGAATCCGGAGGAAACCCAGCAGGGCTGTGGGAGTCCTCGGCTGTTCCGCCTGTGCAGGAGCCCCAAGGAGCCTTGGCCTGCAGATCTGCATGGGAGGAAGAGGCGGCTGCCTGCTGACCTTGCTTCGGGTTCTGTAGCCGGTTTAAATGTTTTACCTATTCCAAAAATAAACTTGCATTGAAGGGAACAAACAAACCTGCCACCAAAGCAGCACAGAGAGCAGCGAGCCTGATGCTGTGGCCAGCCGACCTCCTTGCCCCACGGAGCCAAGGACTTCACAAGCTTCCCCTCTCAATACAGACTGGACCCACTGCATGGAGGGTGGAGCGGTTAGTGCTAGAAGAACCCAGGGACATTTTCCCCGAGACTGCAGTCAGAGAGGAAGAGGGAACCGGGCTGCACCACACAGCAGGGCCTCAGAGCCCTGGGCTGCACGGTGAGGCGGTGCCACCCTTTGTGCACCTTTCCTGCTTTCTCTAAGTTCAACGTTTTTTAAAATTTAAATAATTTAAAAAGATAAACTATTTCCTGCCTGCAGCACTCCTGAGGTTAAGAAGATCAGGCCTCGTGCAGGACACTAGCGAACACTGTCTCTTTTCTTCCCCAGAAAGAGAAGGCTGCGGGCTCTGTGCCTTCCTGAACCCTCCCGCTGGGAAGGGCAAGTTTGCACCATGAGGCTTCTCTAAGGCAGCGAGACAGCTGGGCCAGGGTGTCTGGAGGACAAGCGCTTCCTGAAATCTACCCCTTGCTTCCCCCTCCCTCCCTATCCCCTCTCCCTCCCACTTCCCTCCTTATTCTTCCCTCCCATCCTTTCCCCTTTCTCCTTCTCTTACTTCTTAAAAATTTAACAAATTCTAACTAAAGAAGGCACTGTTGCTTACAAGCATGATGCTGTACACCAAATATCTAAACTCATTTTGTGGGACCAGAATCCTATATCTGTTACACAGAGGCCCCATTCCCTCCCTGTCCTTTCTCAATTGTCCCCTAGGGTGGACTCCTGGTCACTCGAGGTCCTCGATCTATTCCTGGTGACCAGTTACTGTGACAGGCTGACAAATTTGCTGCTGTGTTATCCCCATAATTAATTTAGGAAGGAAGAAGTCTAGGCATTGCTGCTAAATTCTCACAAGCAAGTGAGAACACAGCCAGGCTGATGTCACGGAGCTGAGGAAGTGACCTTGTACCACAGATGTCATGTGCAGAAATGCCACGGTATTTTAGGGATGGGTGATCTGTTTCCCTAATTGAACTTCTAAGTGACTTATTGGTGAGTCTGCTCATACTCTTGCACACTTGCACACTCCTAGTGTGCAAATCGACTCCAGACCTCTGTTCACACTATTTAGTAGTGACCACATAGACCCAGAGGACACTTGTGGACTCCCTGCATGGCCAGTGACCTCCCCTGTGGGCCCTGCTTCTCTCCCCAGTTCTGCATGTTGGAGGCCTGGTACTCAGGGTGGCACTGAGGGAGTGGGGTGTAAGTCTGGCCTCCTTTCTTTGGGCCTCCTCCCACATGTACCCCACCCGAGATCCTCCCTAGGACCCCTGGGACTTTGAGCCCCGTAAACCTCTTCTGCTATAAGGCGACCCACCTCCTGGCTTCCCTTGTAGTAACGGGAAACTGACTGATACACAGCTGCATTTTATCACACTGGTTGTTGGGTCAGGCCACTCCTGTGTGTGTGTTTACACGTGCACGTGTGTACATGTGTGTACAGGCCACACTACCCACAGCCTTGTTGGTACCTACTCCCTACCTTCCCACCGGACTTCACAGACAGGTTGCACACTGTGCCCCAGGAGGATGGCATCAAGGCCACCACACTGCCCAGCCGGGGCCATGCTATGATGGGCAGTGTGGTGGAGTCAGCATCCACTGCACCCCAGAGAGCCCTGGGTCGGTCACATGTGAGGCTCAGCATGGTGGGGATGGTGCATCCAGGCTCCCCACAGAGGCCGAGTGGTCAGCTGTGGCTTTAGGGCAGACTTGGGTCCTCCTTGCACGTCCCTCCTTTTTCACCCCTGTCTAGCGCTCAGCTTCCGGCTCAGCAAAGATGAAGATGCAGTGAAAGGGAATAAGGCAGGTGTCCCCATCCCAAGGTGGGGACAACTTCACCCTGGAAGCCTTGGTACCCCAGGTCCTTACCATCTGCAGCAGCAACAGCGTCCAGGTCGCCCCTGTCCCGGGAGGAGATGAAGGCTGGGGTCACACAGTGGGTCATGTGATTAGGGATTGCCATGCAAGGCTGTCTGAGCCCCAGAGTCACATTCTTGACTTTGGGACCATGTGGCCGGCCCTTTGTCCTTGGCTGAGGCTGGCATGGACCTAGAGAGCACCCGTGGAGTCCTGTTCCCTGCTCCTCCAGGCCCTAACTTCATTTGCACAAAGCAGGAGTCTACTTGTGGTATGCTGTCCTGCTATGGCCTGGCCAGGAAGGGACCCCACGGTGCAGGTGAGATCCTCAGTGAGTCCAGGCCCCAGCGGGGGGAGCTCTGGGGCGGAGGAGGTCCGTGTGTCTTGGAAGTCCCCGTGGGCCGCCACACATCGCAGCCCCCAGAGTTGGTTGTCTCAGCACTTTCTGTTTTGTTTTTGTGTTTTCAAAACACAAGAGTAATTGGGAGACTAATGGGTAATAAGCTCTGCTCAAACTCAAATCATTAACTTGAAAAACGTGGTCTGCTGACAGGATTATTTTGGAATGTGCGTGGCACGTATCTGAAGGAAAGCTTTTCACAGTAAAATCTTAATCCCAAGATGCTGGTAACCACTGGACCTGCCACACACACAGACAGGTCCCAGGCCCGAGCAGGAGGTGCTGCCAGCCACCCTGGGTGAGGTCCACGGCTTTGGGGTGACAGTGACCAAGCCCCCTCTAGGATCCTGAGAAGACAGATTGGGTTCCAGACTCTCGGGGTTGGTAATTGAGCTCATTCCTGAAGGGCCCTGGAGCACAAAGGCACTGAAGCGAAGCCCTGGAAGCCAGGGGTGTGGATGGGGCCCCCGAACTTTGGTAAAGAAAACATTGCCACCAGGCTGCAAGGGTAAAGCTACGGAGAGACCAGAGCCTTGCTTTTCTCACACGGTGCTGGGATGGAATCCAGGTGGGCACTGCTGAGCCACCTCCTGCCCTTTACACTGTGATGTTTCATTTGAGAAAAGGTCAGGTGGGTTGCTCAGGTCAGCCTCCAACTTGGGATCCTCCTGCCTCTGCCTTCTGAGTCACTGGGATCATACGCTGCATCTGCGTGTCGGTTCTCTGTGGGAGGAGAGAAGGGAAGGGGAGAGGACCCAGGCCACCTGCACCCATGCACCTGTGTCCTGAGTCCTTGGGTGCCACCCCCATGCTCCCGACCGAGAGAGGACATGACTGTGTTTCTTCCTCCCTCAGCAACAGGCCGGCCTTCCATGGACTGGCCTCTGCAGTAGCCATCCTGGCGGTCTTCTGAGGACTTCCTCACAGTGCTATTGATCTACATCTCCATTTTCCATCTTGTTTGCTCTCCCAGGGGCAGGGTTACCTGGGCAGGACCTGCAGGACCGGATCCCAGTGCATGACACTCTGGGCCTGTCCTGGACCCAGGCTGAGCACAGAGCGTGTGGGTGCCCAGCCTCAGGAAGCCATGTGGGCAGCTCGGACTGCCTTCAGATGGCCGCCTGCTGGCCCAACCGAGAAGACACTGTCCTGGCAACATGACCAGGTGAGGTCTCTCACCTCAGGGATCTGTGAGGCGTCAGGGTTGCCCGTTCCTGTACTTGCACTCCGGACTGGGTGACACTGTGCCTGTGATCGCCAAGGGTGCAGGGCTGGCTCTGGGTTCTCTCTGCAGGGTGGTGGCTGCATCCACACCAGACCTGTCAGCACGGAGAGCCGTGGGGAGCCCTGACAAGGTGGGGGTGCCCCACAGAGGTATCAGCCCTGGGACATGCCCACCACAGGGGAAGCTGGTCTGTCCCCTGCTGTGGGTGCTGCCGTTGGCACTGTGGTCTCCCCAGGGGGTGATGAGTTCCTCAGTCCTGAGGAATTGTGGACAAAGTCCCCCTCAAAACCCAGGAGAGTCCACCCAGATGCTTCTTGTCCCAGTGTGGGGTTTGGAAATCTCAGCCATGTTGTTTCCCAGGGTCCCCAAGATGACACAGACACCCAGTTGAGTCTCCTGGAGCCTGCTGACCATAGAGAGCCCACAAGAGCCTCCTGAGGTCCAGATCGCCGTCCTGGTGCAGGCTGCGGGGTGTCCCTGAGCACCCAGCTCTGGAGCTTCCATCAGAACTGCTCTGGCATGGCCGGTGTGTGCAGTCCCAGAAGCACCAACATGGCATTGCCATGGTTCCCCTGGGTGTGCACCACAAGTGTCCTGTGCATTCAAAGACTCACTTTGGAGCTGCGGTGCAGCCCAGAGAGCACGTGCCTCATGTGTGGCCCGGGTCTCCAGCACCTTGCTGTGCACAGGCAGCTCTGATCCCTGTGTCCTGACACAACTGCTGTGTGTGTGCATGGAGATCTGGTGCCTGCACGCTTGCACAGGCTCTGTGTTCTCCGTGGACAGAAAGCATGATGGACCCACCACTGACCACATTTTCCCATTTGTCTTAACCAATTCAGAAAACATGAACCCTGATGGCCCTCGCTGGCCCCCGTCAGTCTCCAAGCTGGTCCTGCGATCTGCGGTGGGCATCCGAGCCACAGTTCGTGTCCATCTGGGGGTCAGAGCGCCAGAGCAGGGAGAAGCCATGTTAGCGTGTGGTGGAAGGGAGGACTCCAAAGCCCTGTGCAATGCAGGACCACTCATGTCGGGCCGCACGTGCAGAAGCCCCGAGGTCTTTGCTGATGGGCTTTGTCAGCCAGGGGCTCAGCCATGGCTAACACAGCATCTGCCCACCTTGGCTCCAGGCTCCAGAATCAACTTATCTAAAAAAAAAAAAAAATAACTTCAATGCTTCTTTTCTAGTTTTAAAAATAACCTCCAGCTCCCTTTTGTACATGCGCCAAGCCCGCTCCAATCCTAAGGCTCCACCACCATCCCACTGGGGATTTCACCCTCATTCACATCCCTAAAACACTAATGAGTCTACCTAAAATGGGGACGTGGCCTTTGTGGCCTTCAGCTCACCCTTAATTCAGCCACAGCAAAAAATATTTCTTCCCAACCACCAAAAAGACTCAAATACCTAACAAGTCAATTAAACATCCCCAGGCTCTGGGAGACATCGAACCAAAAACAAAACAAAACCCCCAGCATTCACGAAGACATGGGGCCGGGAGGGCTGCAGGCCTGTGACCCCTCCTGACCCAGTGTGGACCTGCGCAGCACCAGCCCCGACAGGGACACCCCTCGGGCTTCCAACGGCTGGTCTGTCACCTGTGCTGTTCCCCAGCTCCCTCCCTCCGGTGGACCCTGGGCTGCGCTCTGCGCTCTGCGGGTGATACCTGCTCCTGCCTGCCTGGGATCCCGCAGCTCTCCACCTCCTGGGCCACCTATTCCATCCTCAATCTTATTCTGTGACTGCCTCAGCATCGTGTCTGCTGTCCTGCGAGCCGGGACGGTGCCCAGCGTGTCGCTCACAATCGGGGGAACGAGGAGGGCCAGGCGGACAGACCCACTGGCCCGGTGTCAGGCTGTGACTCGCTGGGCATCTGCGAACTCTTGAAAGCCTCTGGGGCTGCCAGGAGGGCTGCGGGGCAGCAGCTCACTGGCTGTCCTTGGCCTGGCCCAGTGTGGCCCATGTGGCCTTTGTGTCAGGACTGTTCCTACCGCCCAGCCTGGCTGGGACCTGCAGAGGCTGCATGCCTGTCAGTGCCCCCTGCCCCGATTCCAAACTCACGCTGCCTGCTCCACCAGTGACCACAACCTCCGCAGAGCAGGCCCACTGGAGGCCAGCCCGGACTTCACACTGGGTCACACACTTTTTATACTGGTAAGTTTTATTTTTAAAAAGTTCTGTTATAAAACTATGTCCTTCCAAAAATAAAATTATTTAATACTGAGACGTATCCATCTCCATCTAGAGGTGTCAGGGACCCTGAGGCAGGAGCTTCGACCCTTTTCTGTCAGCGGCCTGAAGTTCTGAGAGGGTGAATTCGGCCACTCAGCCTCACACAGAGCAGGTTCTCCATGACACTATGGCATTAGCGTCTTTCGGAGGAAAGTTTTGGGGCCTTTGAGCTATTTTTAAAGTCCTGGGCACTGAACTCAGTCACACTGAGCCCCTTCCACAGCCCCTTCATTATTATTATTATTTTTAGACAATGTCTCGTTAAGTCATCAACTTGCCCAGCCAGGACTTGAACTCTGGATCCTCCTGCCTCAGCCTCCCAGAATGCTAGAATTAGAGCTATGCACTCCTTGACTGGAAAGAATTGTTTTAGGAATTGTCAAAACTCCCAAGTTGCTTTTAAAAGTGAGTTTGAAACTGTGTATACCTTTGATTTTTGTAGAGTATACTTTTATGAAAGCCTGTTTATGCTATAAACCCAGAGATGCAGGCTGAGTCACAGTAAAGCTCACTAAATGGAAGATACTATCAATTCTGTTTTTAAATAAAGCTTGTAAATGCTTTAGTGCAAATAATTTATAAAATGTATTTAAATCAACTTCATGGAGACATAACTTACCTCCAGTAAAACCACTCAGTTCAAGGTAGATGAGGCTGGACATCTTGCACCTGCCCTGATTTTCCCCTTTTTATCAGGAGTAAGATCTGTCCTAGAGCTACCCGAAATGGAATTATACCAAGACCTCTGAACTGCATGAAAAAACAACCGCATTCTGAGATTCTAACATGTAGCTGCTCATTTCAGCAGTTTGCTCTTTTTGCAGGCTGAGTTATATTCCACTGGGTGAGGTACCTCCAGTATACTTCTTAGCCATTTTCTGAACAACTATGAACAGAGCCGCCCTGAGTCTTTGCATGGACGAACATTTCAGTTCTCTTCGATAACTCTTGGAACAGAACTGCTGGCTCAACAGGACGGTGAATGTCTAATTTTGGGAGAAACTATCTGACGGTCTTAAGTGACTCTATATCCATACACACAGTGGAATACTATTCAGCCACAAAAGGGAAACCCTGTCATTTGTGAAACTGAGATTATAATGTTAAATAAAATAAGCCAGACCCACAAAGACAAGTATGGTGTGGCCTTGCTCAGCTGTGGAATCTAAGAAGTTGTTCTCATAGAGGTGGGAAGCAGAGTGACGGTCGCCAGAGATGGGGGCAGGGACTGACTTTGGGGAGGCTGAGTCAGGAGGGGCAGGAGAGAAGAGGGGGCCATGCCCTCACAGCGTAGCAGCACACAGCAGGAGGTGGCCACAGGGCCTGATTTGGATCAGACACAGCAGTACCCACGGAACCAGAGCACCACCCTGCCTGCTACAGTCTCAGGAAACACGACACGCCGAAGCTTGAGCCGGCCACATGCCTGACCACTGCACCAGCAGTGCCTGCTGAGGCCTTTAGACGCTGGGAGCCAGAGGTCAGCCTGAAGCCCGGTCAGCACCACCCCATCTTCCCCTGCTGGCCACTCACCTCTCTGCTGAGGCTCCTGCCTGGGCTTTTGCTGTGGTGGCTGCTTCTTTATCCCACCGTGGAGTCAGGAAGCCTCGCTGTGCTTCTGGCCTTGCAGAGAGATGAGGATGCCATGCCAGGCAGGGGCTGCCTGGGAGACCCCGTCTACAGGGAGGATGTGTTGTGACGTTAGAAAAGCAGGGCCAGGCGTGGCCACACCGATGACCCTAGCACTCTGGGGTTGAGGCAGAAGGGTCACAGGTCCAAGCCCAGCCTAGGCGGCTTAGAAACTTGGCAAGACCCTGACTCAAAATTTCAACAACAGCAACAAAGAAACAATAGGATACACATGTTTGGAGCAAGAAGAGGGAATTTGAGGACTCACAGTAATGTGTGCTCTACCATAATAAATTAAGGTAAGGAAATATATTCACCATGGTTTCAGTCACACCATCTACAGAGAGTGGGAAGATCCGAAGCCGGCACTTGAGAGTTACTTCATGGTCTGTGCATCCACAGGATATGGGGTCCGGCTCCTTTCTGCCCATAGGACCAGATAGAGCCTTGTGGCAGAGACCTGGGACCCCAGTCTGCAGCAAGAGCCCTGCAGGGCCAGAGACAGCACCCACAAAAAACGGCAGTCTGGGAACCAGGCATGTCCCGAAACTTCCCTCCCGTGCAGGAGGAGGGCCCCACAGGCCAGCGCAGACCCAGGGTTAAAGGAGCAAAGCGACCTTGTAAATGTGCCTGGCTGGGAACAAAACCCAAGGGCTACAGCATCAAACGGCCCGGCCCCGCAACACAGACTAGGCCACCCTCAGTGGCTTCACTGACCTCTCCACTATAGGCGCTCAGCCTGAGTGTGTCCTCTGAGGGTCATGGAGTGAGGTCACTCACAGTCTCCCTCGGCCTTTCGCCTGCTGCTGGACTCTGTGCGCTGAGAGCTCCCAGACTTAACCGTTAAGGGTGGGCTGAGTGCAGTGCGGAACCAACGAGGCCAAACCTCTCCAGGGCTGCTACCTGCTACGACACCACTTACCTCTCCCTGTCCACTCCTTTCGAAATATCTGTCCACTCTTACGGCAGCCCAAGCCCTGAGGGAGCCCAGGTCTCACAGGAAACCCTTGGCCTGGGGCGCCCATAACCTGCTGTGCCCAGCTTCCATTTTGAGGAACCGGAAGCAGTTGGGCAGTGGGTACGGGTCCCTGGGAGTTTTTCTAGCAATGTCTGTGCCCTCTGGGGACGTTCTTCTCGGCTGTGCCTTCTCCCTGGGGATGTTCAAGGAACACCGGCTGGGGGTGACCATCCTGGGGGGTCCAGACAGGTGCGGTGGCCACACTGACACTTGATCATGGCAGGGAGGGATCCGTGTGATTCTATGTCCTACAGCACCTGGTAACCCTGGAATAATAAAAGCTTCAGAGGAAATTAGTTTTTAGATTGAATGAATTCATTCTGATGTTCAGTTTCCAGACAGTAATTGTCCTTCCTTAGTCCAGCAAGACCCGAGCTATAAAGTCAAAGAGCAGAGTGGCCAGGGTTACTGTTGGAGCTGCTGAAGCTGAATAGATGTGCAGGGCTGTGGTGTGGCCTGGACATGGCGGACCTGAGAACAAGAAGACACCTCAAGAGGCAAGACAGGCCACAGCTGAGGCCTCCTGAAGACTTCTGGATAGTTTTCTTAATTAGCATCCTCTGTTACTCTGAGGGGTCCTTGAATCCCTCCCAAGATCCTGCTCAGGTTTCCTCCATTGTCCACTCAACTGCCTGCTTGTTCTGATTAAATATGGGCTATCCAGGATCAGCCAGCTGACCAGCTAGCAGAGTTACAAGCTCTGCCAAGGATTTTAGTCCACCTGGAGCCCTAAGACCATGCCGCTTGTCTCATTCCTTTGAGCCTTCACCATGCACCCATTTGGGGAATCGGGGATCTAGGCACAGACCCCAACAGGTTAAGATGCCAGGAGAGAAGACACAGTCCTGGGCTGAGGCTGAATGGCCCTGAGCTCAGCATGGGTTCCCATTGAGGGGGCCTGACTTCTCTACTGGCCACTTGTGCAGGCCAGGTTTGAGACGCGGCACCAAGGAATTGATAAAAATATATTTAAAGCATGGCATACTGTAAAATAGTTATTTTGACATTTGACGAAAACAAAAAAGATTCCCAAAGGTGTATGAAGAGAAGAACGTGCTGACACCACAATCTTTGCTGTGTACCCTCATTAAGCAGGATTGGCACTGAGTCCCAGGAAAAAGATTTTCTTTTTTCCTTTTTTTTTTTTTTTTTTTTTTTGTCTTTTTCCTTTTTATCGGTACCAGGGATCGAACTCACGACCGCCTGCTTGCAAGGCAGGCGCTTATGCCGCTGAGCTAAATCCCCAGCCCCAGGAAAAAGATTTTCTTTTTTTTTTTTTTTTTTTTTTTTTTTTTTCATTACTCCTTAGTGCTTATTACTTTTGGGGAGGGGGGGGGGAGAATACAGTCAAATATGGCAAAACAAAGCTGTCAGTCAATACCAAGGATAGACATAGCACATGGTGTAGAACACAGTACAAGTTTATCAACTATGGTTATCAACGTTGTCCCTTGTTTCCTTAAAAAGAATTGTCTATCTCATTAGATATTATAAAGTTGGACAAAACAGTAGAGAACAAGACCAATACAACTTAGGCATTGTAAACATTACAGGACTTCCAAAGAAGACAATAGTCAAACCAGAATGGGTATCTTAGTGAATCTTATTGTCTTCAAAGTAGTTGCCTATGTCTTCAAACTTGATACTACCATATAGAATGGAACAGAGTCTAATCAGTCAAAACAAGATCGTGGGAGTACTACAGGACTTCAAAACAAGTTAATAGGAAATCAAAAAGAGTTATTATTTATATATCCTAATTATTTGAATTTTTTCTTTAATTAAGACAAACATAAGAAATGACTAATTTTTTTAAAACAATAAGGGGGAGATTGAGATAAAACAGGACATAACAATATAACAATAGAGGTCACAGCATGACTGTTTCAACAACCTAGTACTTCACCACCATATAACCTGACTTAATAGTAGTTACCATAGTGTCTTTTTCCTTGAAATATTTGGATAAAACTTCATATACTCTAGCTTCAAATATTTTCAAATCAAGAAGCCCAGAATAAAGCCTTTCTAATTAATGAGTGAAAACTTTATAAGGCTCCAAGGCCACCTAATGGGGAATCATGATTACCACATATTTTTATATATTTGAATCATTACTTACATTAGGGAAACTATTCGGTATTCACACATGCGAGATTGATTTATTTCACTTATGAGTATGGTCTCAAGCTGCGCCCATTTATTGATAAATATCTCAATGTGATCCTTCTTTATAGCTGAATAATACTCCATTGTATAGAAATACCACAACTTTTTTATCCATTCCTCAGTTGATGGACACTTGGGTTGTTTCCATGATCTGGCGATTACAAATTGTGCTGCTATAAACATAGGTGCACATATATCACTGTGGTGTGATGCTTTCAGTTCTTCTGGGAATATGCCTAGAAGTGGAATAGCTGGAATAAATGGGACTTCCAGTCCCAACTTTTTGAGAAATCTCCAGACAGATCTCCACAAAGGCTGTACCAGTCTACACTCCCACCAGCAGTGCAGGAGAGTTCCCTTTTCCCCACAGCCTCTCCAGCATTTGTTGTCGGTTTTCTTGATCCTGGCCATTCTTTCAGGAGTGAGATGGTATCTCAGTGTGGTTTTAATTTGCATTTCTCTAATGACCAATGATGATGAGCATTTTTTCATGTATTTATTTGCCATTTGCATTTCTTCATCTGAGAATTGGGTATTCATCTCAGATGCCCATTTTTGGATTGGATCTTTGAATTTTGGAGGTCTGAGTTTCTTTAATTCTTTATATGTTTTAGACAAGAGGCCCTTGTCTGAGAGAGAGTTCACTAAAATCTTTTCCCAGTTTGTGGGTTTTCTTTTCACTATGCTGCAGATTTCTTTTGACATGCAGAAACTTTTTAATAAGAAGTGGTCCCAGTTATTGATTCTGGGAAGTATTTCCCGTGCAGTTTGAGTCCTGTTCATGAATTCTTTACCTACTCCTATGTCTCCAAGGTTTCTACCTAATTTGTCTTCCAATAGATTTAGTGTTTCTGGGAAAAAGATTTTCTTAATCCTAACACTGTTGAGGCTTCATAAAAACTCCAGATCCATATCCTAACAATTGAGAAACCAAATTATCCTAACAGCCAAAGCACAGGTCCTCTTGCAAGACTAAAAGATGATACACTCTCGCTGTGAGCCAGCGGAAGAATGTGGAGCATTTTAACACTGGGTGACAGTGCGCTCTTAGCACATATTTTGGAAACAGCTCAAAGTACTAGTTGACATTTCCTGGCTGTGCTTTAAGCCTGCAGGGCTGCTCCGAGCCTGTGTGTAAGGGGAATCCAGCTCTGGGCTGTGGAAACCCGCCTGGTCGGTCACATGACCCCAAGGACGCACAGGGCAGGGCCTGCTGGCCTCTGCTCCTGCTTCCCCGCCAGGCCACACCTGCCCCGAACCACAGCAGCACCTAGGCCTGTCTGGGCTCTGATCTCCAGCTTGTGGTGACTGCTAATTGGTTAATTATGCACTGCAGCATACAGCAGTACCTTGGTCCGTGAACTGCACTCCCTCCACTATTCTGGTGGCAAACCGAACCGGACGAGAACTGCCTATAAGGTCAGTGTTGACCCTAACTGACCATTGGGTTGGATTCTGTTCTCGTCCAGTTGGTTTGTGAGCCAGAATCCTGGGAAGAATTAAGTTGGGGAACCGAGGGAACATTGTTCTGTAACTGTACTGAACACTTAGTCCAGATGGAAAAGCTTCATTTTAGAGTTTGTAATGATAGAAATTTTTAAATCTATTTTGATTTCCTAAAATACTTCTGTGGCAGAGATGTAGAAGATCCACGGAAGTCTCTCAGGGTTAGAATGATTTACATGGATGGAATTCTATTGGTGGAGAAGAATGAAATATAAATTTGAAATAAATAAAGGATAAGATTTTCAGATAATGAAAGAGTTCTGGGCAGCAGGGCAGGGGTTCCAGAGGTCGGTCTCACAGGCACGTTCAGCTCGGAGCTCTGCTGCCCAGCACAGTGACCACCAGGGACCCTGGCACACTGAGCTGAGCCGAACTGAGCAGTGTCCCCCACATGCAGGGTCAGCAGGGTCACAGCGACCTTGGCCTCTCAATGTGTCCTGTGTGGTCCTGCTCTCCTGACTCTGGATGGTGAGATGCAGCCCCTAATGGGGCTCCCAGGTCCCAGAGCTGCAGACGTCTCAGGGTACAGCTGCCCGACCCACTGCGTCTGCTATAAGGTGGAAGCTCCACGTCCGCACCCCTCCAAACCTGAGGATGCCTTCCCATGCTGGGCATCAGTTGCGCAGGGAAGTGCTTAGTTCCTGGACCCTAACTCAGGTGTGAGGGCAGGATTCTCCAGAGGATCCCTCCTAAGGGTCGTCCTGACAGCTGAGAGGAGGAAGGCTGTGAACCTGGACTGTGACCCGAGGGGCGCTTGGCAGACACAGGGAAAGTGTTTCCCCCCGGCTGGAGGAGCCCAGGCCCAGAAGGCCATGGAGTGGAGATCACCCCAAAATGAACAAGCAATAGAGCCTCGGCCTTGCACAGGGCCCAGGGGCCTGGGAGGGCTGACAGGAAGTGGACACCAGCGCCCATCAGCTGTCAGGAGAAAAGGATGAATGGCAAAGGTGGACTACAAGCCTCAGTATGCAGGGTAAACAGAAGGTGGTCACTCAGCTGGGTCTAATGGGGCATGCCCGTAATCCCTGTGTTCTGGGAGACTGAGCCATTAGAACCCAAGTCAGAGTCCAGCTGGGACAAGTGAGTGAGTCTGTCTCAAAGCAATGAAAAAGCTGGGGGTGTAGGTCAGTGTGAAGGCCTAGATTCAACCTTCAGTGGCACTCATGCATGCATACACACACACACAGAGATGCATATGTACACATGCACACATTCATGCACATGCACACATAGTTTAAAGTCAGCAGAAGAGCAGAACAGCACCCAGAGGGCACAGGGCACCTGCACTGCTGCCACTTGTCCTGCTGCCACCCCCTCGGCTCCTGTCCTCAGGTCTGGGTCCCATTCATGACTGAACTTGCATCACGGCTTGTCACAGGCCTGGCGTCTTCTCCTGACTCGGGCTGCTGTCAGGGCCCAGGTCACAGGTGCATCGTGGGCATGGCCTGTCCCCAGGCACTGGCTGCACTACATGAGACTTGACAGCTGTGGGCAGGAGCTGCCAGGTTGGGCACACTACACACTCGCTTCCCCGAGAAGAGGGGTTGGGAAGGAGCTCCGGAGTGAGGATGCAGCCCCAGGCCAGCAAGGAGGAGGAGGAGGGCAGCCAAGTGGGAGCAGGGCTGAGGGACAGTGCCAGCTGCAGCCACCAACAGGACTCAGCGCGGCCTGGACCCCTCTCCAGGCACACTCGGGATCTGCTGTTGAAATGCACACAGTGTCCCTCCACGGGCCTAGGATACATTCATGCATTGTATGATGTGCCATGTGCGGGAAGCAGCAGAGGCCCAGCCCGTGGGAGGAGGGGATGCTAGCCGGGCTCCAGCTTTTTGAATTGGGGAGGGGAATCTGGGCCGAGTCACTTCCTCTCTCTACCCTGGCTGCGTGAAATGGGGCGACAAGAACTGCGGGGGATCAAAGCATAAAATAGAGATCACCACTCAGAAACTGTGGAAGTCAACAAACAAGCAGTCAACAACATGCACAGCAACTGTGCCATTAGACAAGCACACATACAGCAGGGCACACGCACCGCCAGGCATACGCACAGCAGGGCACACGCACAGCAGGGAACATTCACAGCAGGGCACTCCATTCGTGTGAAGAGGAACTGGGCCCTGCCCTGGGCAGGCTTTGTTCTGGAGCCCGCAGATGTGGGCATGGTGATTCTGTCGCGGTTATCTAATCAGGCTTTCTAGTTTTAAAATGAAGCTGATGCTGGAAAGGTTTGGAGACTTTGCCTAGGTCACACAGTGAAGAGGAGGCTGAGTGTAACTGCCTGACTGCCAGCCTGTCTGCTGGTAGCAGGCTGCCATCCCTTTCTGGTTTATACATAGAAGCATTAAGGCTGTTTCCACCAGGCCCAGGACTCCCCCTGCCCTCGAGCGGTGAAATCTTGAGGTCTAGTCCCCACTGGGAAGACAGATTTCTGTGCCACTGCACTCTGAGATAAAGAGCTCAGGCCCTGGCAGCTGGGAGGGAGAGAGCAGGGACCCGAACATCAGAAGGGTGAACACTGTCCTTGACCTGGGAAGATGGAGCCAGCCAGCCATGGTGCCTGCCTTTGGCTGGAGGGGCCTGGATGCGCCCCTGGCCAAGGGCAGCTCCATCTGCTTTGCATCAGTTCATCTCCAGATAACCTTGGACAGGTCTCTGTGGGGCCAGAGCTGGCACCAGGAAACTCAGACATCCATCAGCTCTTTACTTGGCCTGGGAAATGGCTGTGGAGCTTGGGGTGATGCTGCTCTAACAGAAGAGGCTGGACTCAGCCTCTAACCCAGACCTGCAGAAAGATTCAAGCCAAAGACAGCTTAGCCCAGAAACCTGGGGTGGTGACGGCTGCACCGTGACCTCTGCACCCCATGTCTCTGAAGGCGAGCTGATTTTTCTGTTTTGTTTTTGAGACAGGGTCTTGCTCTGTAGTCCAGGTTGGCCTTGGATTCACTATGTAGTCCAGGCTGGCCTCAAACATGAGGTGCTCCTCTCGCCTCAGCCTCTGGAGTGTTGGGATTACAGGCGTGTACCCCTATGCCCTACTCGATGGCAAATTTAAAACGGTAAGTGCTCTCATGTTTAGGATACACGGGGCTCGGCACCGGCCCAGCCCCAGGGAGCCCCTTCTACCGGCTGTCCCCCCACCCCACTTTGTACCCCAAACTGTGACTGCCACATAGGACTTCTGGTTCCGATGGGACTCACGAGACTGGGGTACAGTCGCTCCTCCAAGTAGGTTTCTGTCCTTTGCAGTAAACTAAAAAGGTAGTAAGTGTGGGATAAACCAAGGCAGCCTCTTTCTGTTAAGCATCATTTCTTAGACAATTAAATTGTTTTTCTACCGAGTGAATACTTTCCTTGTCTAATGCCTTCCAGTACCAAGTGCTGACCTTGTAACAGGGTACAAATAAACTTAGAGGAGGTATCATCAAAAAGACCATCCGGGCAAGGACGCCAAGGATGCAGGGTCACTGGAATGCAGGAAATGGTTTGGAAAAGCCTCACAGTGTAAGGCACAGCTGCTGTGTACCTGGCTGGCAGAGCACTTGCCCGGCACATGTGAGGTCCTGGGTTCCGTCCCCACTACAACAAAAAAGGAAAAGTTAAACCTACAGTAACCATATGTTATGGTTTATGTCAGTGGCCCCCAGGCCTCATGCCTTTGCATTATGCATCTATAATTGGTTCATTGTCTAGTGCTTGGATTGGGGGTGTGAGTGCTACACTGGTATCTTAGTTACTTTTTATTCTTCGCTGAGACAAAATACCTGAAGCCCAAAGTTGGGAAAGGAAGGTTTATTTCTTACAGTTTTTGGAGGTTCAATCTGTACTCAGTTGGCTCCAAGACAGTCTGGCATGGCTGGGCTCCAGTTCATGGCGGTTGCAAACAACCAGCAGGAACCAGCAAAGAGCAAGACACACCTTCTTCCTGCCATTACATCACATCCTGGCTCCACCCCTTTGTGGGTGGAGCACTGACACCATCAATCCAAGCACTAGACAGTGAATGAATAACAAATGCACAATTAAAACTCCTGAGGCCTGGGGGACACAGACATAAGCCATGACAACTGGTCTAGGGGTGGAGCCAGGATGTAATGTAATGGCATTAAGAAGGTGTGTGTCGCTCTTTTGCCTGTTTCCTCCTTGCTGTTTGCAGCCACAATGAACTACAGTCCCGCCATGCCACCCTGCCTTGGAGCCAACTGAGTATGGACTGAAACCTCCAAAAATTGTAAGAAACTAACCTTTCCTTTCCCAACATAAGTCATCAGGTATTTTGTCTCGGTAAGTAATAAAAAGTAACTAAGACACCGTGTGACCCAGAGTTCTACTCAATATGTACCCAGTAGAAACAAAAACATTAGGACCACATAAAGACTTGTTAACACCAGCATCAGCCAAAAAATAAAGAAAACATGGCCCTTCTATTCAGTGGGGTGTTGCTTGGCTGTAAAATAAACAAGATGTCAAGACGCTACAGTGTGGCAGCCTTTGAAAATGTTACCTTAAAAGAAAGACACCAGTCAGAAAACACCACCTGCAGTAGGATCCCCTGAGACACATCCATTATAGAGACAGAAAAGACTCGTGGTTGCCAGGGGCTGGGCATTTAAGGGTGGGGAGTTTCCTTTGAGTTGGGGAATGCTCTAAAAGTGGTCATGGTTGCACAAGTCTGAGGTCGCACTGAAGCACTGAACCGCACACTTCACGGAGGTGAGTTGGGCTTTACATGAGTTATCTCAGTGAAACAAACTGTTGGGAAGCAGACTCCGACTAAAACACACCGGCACCGGGAACTGGAACCTTAGCTTGTTCTCCGGCTTGAGAGTCATGCTCTTGCATGTGCGGGAAGGCACACTGGGAGCCATTGGCAAGCATTTGGTCTGACTCTTAAACCAGAAGGGGACACCCCCTGGACGCATTCGCACTACACCTTCAAACACTGCAACAAAGCCAGCTGAGCACAAGAGCTCAGAGCTTCAAGTGACAAACCGCACAGCGGTCCCCAGAAACCGCTCTTGGCCTGAGGTCAGCCCCTTGCCAGGGCTCCGACCGCCTGTGGGAGCGGAGACTTACAGCAGCTTTCCCTGGGCAGCGGGGAAGCATCCCCGCTGCAGTCACTCAGGGGAACCTGGGGATGCCCTGCAAGCCAGGGTGGTCTTGCAGGCCTTCCCGATCCCGCCTTCCCCACCAGGCTCCGCAGTGATGGTAGCTTCTTCACAAAGGATAATTCTCAGAGGGAGCCCATTTCTACCTGATGAATGCCGGGGCCTGTAAACTCTGAACCCTTGCTGGCCTTTGTTGCTTGTGACCCTGTTCAAATGATTGATGCTCCTTTAACCACCACGAGGCCCGCCAGCTGCCTGAGCGCCTGTCCAGGGCTCCGGAGAAGCAAAGTTGTTCAAACCCGAGTCTGGGGCCCTGTGCACCCAGGACACGGCTGGGTCACAGCGTTTAGTTCCCATGTTCTACACAGGGAACATACTCTTTATTTTACAAAGTTGTAAAAGGACCTTTATTTTTTAGATTCTGAAAAGCAAAGAATGAGATATTGTAACATTCTTCAGCATCGCCAAACTCGAATAACGGAGCCATGCTGGTGTGACCCACAGGCAGCCCTATTGCGCTGGCAGTAAGGGTGCTTCCAGCTCTTCAGACCAGAGTTCTGTGCCCCACCCTGCCAAGCATCATTGAGTGAGGGGTCATCTGATGCCTCTGCACTTTCACCACTGTTAAAACTCAGAACTTAAAGACCAGAGGTCTGCACTGGCATGACATCCATAGCATCACCTTAGGGACCTAGTGCAGAATGGACGGGGCCTTCCCTGAGTGACATCACCCGGAAATGTGAAGACAACATTCCGCTTCACTGGCTCTGTCCTAGCCTCAAAGCAGAGGCAAAGCCAGCAAGGGAGCAGGCATGAAAGAAGAGATAGGGTCAGGGAAGAGGGGGACAGAGTGTTCTCCTGGCTTACAAAGTATTTTATGAACCTAGTGTTCCTGAAAAGCTTCATAGGAAATAAATAAAAGTCTTCAGCAACTTGCTTGGTATCTACAGCATTTCTCCCGGAGGATAAAGGGTATTTGCAGCTCTGAAAATAAGCGCGTTTGATGAAATGCATTTTCTCCCAACTTTGTAAGAAAGGCCAGCCTAGTTCCGGGGAGGGGCACAGGAGGGAGGCACAGCTGCGGCAAAACCCACGGCTGTCGCTGTCGTGTGGACACTATCGGCCGGCCTCTCCTGCCTCGGCCACGCCGCATCCCCGACACAGCGTTTCTGTTCAGTGATTCACGGAAAGCACCAGCAGGGAGTTTCTTAGATAATGGGCCTAAGGTTAAAGTTGAAAATACCAACTTGACGCTGAGCAGACGTGGCCATGCTGAATGTCGCGTCCACATTTCCAGTAAATCATTTCATTATCCCTAATAATAATCTCCACAGGCTTTGCAAATAATTGCTTTGCTAAACTTAAAGGAAGTCTGATTCTAATTTGCTATCTACATCTACATTCTCATATTCTTTTTATAGATTTTTTCAACAAGCTATCAGGAGGATCTTCCTTCACTCTAACATAAGTGAAAGTTTTATCTATCTCGAGATATCGCTAAAATAATTTACTGCTGGGGAAACAAAACCTTTTGTTTCAAAGTATATTTCTTCCCGACAGCTGTGGTATTTCAGGGAAAGCACCAAAGCTATGATGGTCTGGGCTGCAATCAACTATTCTTAATAGGAAATTTTACAGACTTTTAATAAGATATCCTCAAATAATTTATGGGGAGAGGTTTTGAAGTGAAGAGGCATTGTTTGGCAATATGTTCTCCCTCTAATCTCAGGAAATTTAAATAAAAGAGTCCTCATTTCCTCTGAACTCAGCAGTTCTTCTTTTTTTTTTTTTTTAAAAAAAAAAAAAGAAAGATTAAGAAAAACACCTGCTACATCAGTCCCCAAGTGTGGCTCAGAAGCTTCAAACAAAATTGTGCTAAAACAAACAAACAAACAAACACTGCAGCAGGGGCTGTGGACTGCCTGCCTGGGACAGGGCAGGAGTTTCCAGGGAGGGCTCCAAAAGGACTGGCTTGAAAATCAGCAGAGAAGGGGCCTTCGTGTCCTGCTCTGTGGACCACGGCCCCGGAGCTGTCTCCGGTGACCTCCCCAGCCGAGGGCCAGATGCTGTCCCAGTGTTACCGTGATGGCAGCCTCCGTCCTTCCCAGCAAAGCTTCCACACTGATCCCCGGTTTCCTTTGTGGTGGTTGTAGTTTATGACATTGTTATCTTTATAATCATAATTAGATCATCTTCAGTTATACCAATATTTACTCTGTTTGTTTCCTGTATGGGTAGCAGGTGGGCTTCATCTATGTCTCTCACGTCCAAGCACACAGATTGTGTGGGCTTCTGTTGAGAAGCTGGCGGAAGGTGCTTCTTCCCAGGGTCTGATCCAAGGAGAAATTCTGCGTCTCTCACAAGGCCCTCCCAGCAGCAAGGGTTGGATGACATCAGAGGTCCCTTCTGGCTTCAAACGTCTCATTCTGGGGTCCCAGTGGGGCTCAGAGGGTCATCGGAGAGCCCAGTGTCCTGATGAGAAAAGTGTAGCAATCAGCTTCGACATATACTAATTGTTCCTCATTAGGAAATTCAGTCAGGAGAGGGAAAAAGACCAACACGAGCCAATTAGCAGTAAACACAACACTGAACATACCTTTGCCTTGGGTCAAAAGAAAATCATTGTGTCCATTTCCACACCTTCTGTGTCTCCCCTCTCCTTCCAGTGACCCACACCCCTCCTCCACACTTGCTTCCTTGCCCAGGCAGTTCCTGTGCTGACATAAACCCCACTGCATGCCCAACCTCACTCAGAAGCTCACAGAGCAGATGGACCGTTCCAACTGGGCACCGGGGGCAGGGTGTGGGCCGCGGGCTGCACCAGGTCTGTCCCTGGATCTCCCCTTTCCCACCCATCATGCAGCAGCTAAGGCTGGGCTGGATGGACTGCCAACCGCCAGCCACCACCATAAATAAAACCTTTCTCCAGAGTTCAGGAGATACTGGGTCAGCTCAGAGTGGCTGCTGTGGACTGGTTTCATGGGTTTTTCTTCTCTCTTTCCAGCGTGAGATGCTATAATTTAGGAAGGTGGGAAAGTCACCTCCCCACTGTCTGATATCTCCTCACTTCCGTTATCTGTGCTTTTCAAGAGCACAGATCAAAGATCTTCACTTTGTTGACAA